AGCGAGTCTCCTGCCTCCGCCTCCCAAGTAGCTGGGACCACAGGCGCCCGCCACAATGCCCGGCTATTTTTTGGTTGCAGCCGTCTTTGTTGTTTGGCGGGTCCGGGCTGGGGATTCGAACCCGCCACCTTAGGTGTAGGTGGCTGGCGCCTTAGCCGGTTGAGCTATAGGTGCCGAGCCCTCCTATTTTTTTATTTAAAAAAACGCTGGCTTTAATAGCTCTTTTGTCCCCTTGCTTTGTCTCTTTACTAGTAAATCAAGAAGCATTTTCTGGCTCAGGTTGGGGGATTAATGTACACAGTGGCTGCTAAAATTGTACTGGAAACGGGACAGTAGTTAGACGTCAACCCCATAGCTGGCCCCAGTACCTTCTCGATGGAGAACTTCCCTCTTCATTCCTGGGTCGCCTTTTTTCCCCTCTTCAGGCTGGATGAACAGTGCAGTGCTATTCCCACACGTACCATGCATTTTGAAAAGCACTGGAGATTACTAGAAAGTATGAAAGCACAGTATGTTGCCGGAAATGGTTTTCGAAAAGTGTCTTGCGTGGTAAGTATTTATAGATTGCCCAGTAACTCAGAAATACAGCAGGACGCAACACTGCTTCTGCGGTGCCTTCATCAAAAATAGGTGATACATAAGGTCCTTTCATGCAGATGCTTCGTTGTGATTTATAAATACAGGCTTTGATTTATAGCTCCTGTTGATTATGATCACGTAGTGGCCTTAGCTGTTTTGTTTTTCCTAAGTAGGTAACAATAATTTTAAATTTCAATCTCAGGAAATTCCTACTCTCTCTATGTGGAGATCTTTTATTCAAAATGAGGGCTGAGTTTAGTGATTTTAGTGTAAATTGATGGAGATATAATTTGCCTATAAAATCATCTTTTGATTCGGCCTTCTGAGTTCTAATTCCATATATATGATATATTAAGATATTAATTCTTAAATGCCTTATCTGGCCTTTTTTTATATATAGTTAAGCTCAAATCTCCGTCATGTGCGAGTATTTGAAATGGACATAGATGACGAGTGGGAGCTTGATGAGTCTTCAGATGAAGAGGAGGAGGCCACCAACAATAAGCCTGTAAAGATAAAGGAAGAGGTGTTGTCTGAGCCGGAGGCAGAGAACCAACCCGCTGGTGCTGCTGCTTTAGCGCCCGATATAGTCATTAAAGTGGAAAAACTTGACCCCGAGCTAGACTCATAATCCAGTTTGCCACTTATGTGTATGTCGTTAGGGCATCACGGACATAGGACTTGGACTAAGACGTCTCAGATCACTTGTAATTTTCTTTGTGTAACAAAGAAATAAATGGTAAATTTTATTTTTTCATACTCTGCTTCATCTTTTCAGTCACTATCCTAGACTTTCTTTTTGCTGAGATACCATTTTAATGCTGTGTGAACTACTATCGAAAGAAAACACATGGAGAAGAAAAAGTTTGATTTCTTCAGTCAAAACGTAGGTATCAGAAATTATTCCTATATCAGGAAGAAATTACATTTTAATAGTCCATCACTGGAAATTTTGATGTCCTTAGTAGTTTTAAACCATAGACAACATTTATTACTAATTTTGTCTTCCCCTTCAAGTTCATTTTAGGTCTCCAGGATGCTTTCAGAATTGTTTCAAAATAAATTATACTGGTTTATTGTAATGCAAAGCCAAAGATGGATCCTGTCACTTAATGACCTAAGTAGCGAAAACACTTCTTTACACCTACATGATTATGTTTTCTCATTTTGTTCCTGTATTTGAACTCTAAATTCTTTGAATGAGCAGTGTGTAGGTGTGCCATCTTTCTTGTTTTGACTTACTCAAGGGCATACGGTAATTTTCTCTTTGACTCCTTGGGAACAAGAGAAATATGGGTCGACTGAACATAATCTAGTGTTAGTGCAGATAAGCTGCTGCTGATTTCCTAATGCTCACTCCTAAAGTAGAATAGTGTTCTAAAGAGTTTCCATTTATATATGAATCCCAATATTGGCTCACTGATAAGGACCACTTTTTAAAGCTTTAAATTTCTTTAGGCAGGAGGATATAACTAGGTGAGTGGGAAGCTGCTGGGTTGCTAGGTCGTTTGTCTGTTTATTTCATAGGTAGGTAGCTGCTACATGTGGGTTTTAGAGCAGAAGCCACTGTTGGGTGCCCAAGCACGGTGTTCAGTGTTGGTCTTCAGGAGGCCGACTTCTGAGCCGCAGCCTTGCATATGATCGCTTTAAACCCAGTTAATGCAGTTACACAAACACTTACTGATGGTGGTCACTGTTGATGAGGTGCAGAATGTCTTTGATTAGCTTTTGTGAGCAAGTAAGGTGAATTATCAAGATGACATTACAGAAGAATGAGTGTACTAGGACCGGGTGTGGTGGTTCACACCTGTAATCCTAGCACTCAAGGAGGCCAAGGTGGGAGGATCACTTGAGACCAGGAGTTCGAGACCAGCAAGACTATACTAAAAATACAAAAACTAGCTGAGCATCTGAGCATGTGCCTGTAGTCCCAGTTGCTTGGGAGGAGGATTTCTGGAGCCAGGGGTCTGAGGTTGCTATGAGCTCGGCCATGGTACTCTAGCCCAGCTGACAGAGTGAGACTCTGTCTCCAAAAAGAAAAAAAGAAAGATAATATACAAATTTACTGTATAACATTTAAAGAGCTTAAATAGGTCACAGATCTTAGGGCAAGTAATTATAGCTCTTCTTAGAGTAATTTACAGTTTTACCATCAGCAGTCAGTTTTTTATTAGTAATCTGTCCCGTGTGACTTCAGCGTGGGAGTTATAAGACTTGATATTTATGTACTTGCTTTCTGTGTTTCTAGCACAGTAGGCACAAGTTGAAACTGAGGCTCTCAGATCCTCCCTTGTGTGAATGCACTAGCTATCCCTTAGTGTGGAGTTAAATAGATTCCTGCAGCACATTCTGAATTGTGGGAGACTGGTTTGCCATTTTGCTTTTAATGTCCATATCAAGTATTTAAGAACTGGAATTATATCAAAATGAAAAAAGTGTAAATTGATTATCTTGATTTTTTTTTTTAAGTTTTAATAAGATGTAGAGAGCAAATAATTTTGTTTGTTATATGTTTAGAGGTATGCTATAATATTTTATACCACTGGACACTTTGTTTCTAAAACGTAGAGTCAATTTGGTCATTACAGATCATTACTTTAGTATGTTTCGCTGCACATGCTGAACTTGATCTTTGAATTAAATGGATGAGAAGTCAATGAGGGGATATGGAGGATCCTGGGGATGCCACAGTTACTGACTTGTGTGGAACTTTGGGTGCCGGGCCTTCAGGTGGTGGGTAACTGGGTGCCTCTCTCGGGGTTTGGGCCCTGAGTGAAGGGTGATCGTACAGCATTGGGGTTGGCACTCATGAGATGCCTGATAGCACCCAGCATTTCCTATTTACAATATTCTGTTTTTCAAGATGAATTGTGTTCTAGAAATTTAAATAGTTTGACTTCTTTTGCCAGACTTCATAGAATTGTGACAGTAGTCTAATTCTCTGGCTTCATAGTTTTTTGTTGTTGTTGTGTTCTTGTCCCCCCCACCCATAAAAATTTATCCTCAACAAAATGCTAAAACACTCTATCTTTTTAATTCTCAGCACTTGAATACAAATGTGAAGAAAATTATTATAGTATAACCTTGAGTTTATGATGCTATAGCTAGGGGAATTTGTATATGTATGTATGAGTTAATCTAAATATTTTTGCATTATTGAGAGATGTCCACCAGACAAATTTATGCTAAATGCTTTTTTGCAGAGGATGCTGTTAGTGAAATCATGAGTTCACCAGGGGAAAATCAATTTTTTTGATACCTCTTAAAGTCGCAACAATTATCTATAGACTGTTTACTAGAATTTACATTTCATTGTCCAACATATCTTTAGTTTTCACTGAACACAGAGAGATAGTACTTAGGGTTGTATTAAGTCAAGGTCACAAAAACCTTATGTGAGCACAGAATATATTAGCACAGAAATGATCTCTTATGAGGAATATTCAGTTTAAAAACTCCCCATTGTTAAATGGTTCTAGGAAATGAATTATTAGTATGATAGGTTACTTTCCACTTTTTTTCTTGTTCTGACCAAATAACTTCTAGAACAGGATTTCCTATGATGCACGCCCTACTACATCAGAATTGCCAGGGCCAGGGATTAAAAATGCCAATTCATGGATACCCCCTAAGCCCACTCAGAATTTAAGAGTGGGGGTCAGGGCTGCATTTTTAAGCAGCCAGCTCACTGTTAACTCCCACTAAGATTGAGAACTATTTTCTATGAAAGCTGTTATTTAGAAACGGGTTGTTATTTATCTATAAGACAGAGTCTCACTTTGTTGCCCTAGGTAGAGTGCCGTGGTGTCATAGTTCACAGCAACCTCAAACTCTTGGGCTCAAGCCACCCTGTTGCTTCAGCCTCCCTAGTAGCTGGAACTACAGGGGCCTGCCACAACACCTGGCTATTTTTAGAGTCAGGGTCTTGCTCTTAGGCTGATCTCAAATTCTTAAGCCCAAGCGATCCATGAGCCTGGGCCTCCCAGAGTGGGAGGATTACAGGTGTGAGCCACTGTGCCCAGCTAGCTAGGTGGCTATTTTTAAGTTCATAAGCTGTTCTTTTAGATGCACTGAAAACTGATGTATTTTGCTTTAAAAGTGACCCTAACCAGTGGTTAATTACACTGGTTCAGTCAGACTGAACTCGCTGCCCCCAGACACAGGTGGAATGTGCAGTAGTAGCTGTACGGGTGATAAATCTGTCCCATGACATGCCTGTAAATGAAACTGAAGTCTACCAGCTTGTTGGGTTTGAAACATTAAAACGAGACAAGTTTGTTGTTCGTCCCTCCTGCCAGCCAATTTACAACTGAAAACTTCAGGGACTGTTTTCCTTCATTTCTGCATTCTGATTCCTGTTGCAGAGTGAACACTAGTATTTTAAATATTTCTGTCCACTGTTCAGATGGTAAAATGGGGCTTAGGAGCCCACACTGGAAGAGCGGCCAGCTGTGATGGAGGATCGTCACCATTTTCGGGACACTGCAGTACTTTGTAACCTTGATCACGCATTCCTTCCCTTCTTCCTTTCCAACGCTTTCTTTGTCCTGCCAAATTGTTCCAGGAAGAAGTATGAGGGATACTTTTATGAGGAAAGTATGAGAAATGTAAACGATAAAGTCCTTGTTTTCTTAGGATGTGAAGTCCAGACTGAGCAACAGGCGTGGACAGCAAAGCGGCTGAGGCCGTTGTCTGGAGGGCCCGCGAGATGTGGGGCCCATTTTCTCCCCTAAAGGAGGGGCCGTCCGAGGGCAGTGAAAGGGCAGGTGGCAGAAGGTCACCCAAGTCTGTCAAGTATGTCAAATACTGCCGAGAAGTGGAGCAAGGGAGTGATGGAGATTGTTTGCTTTGAAAGAGCTGCAGGTCGTCGTGACCCTGAGACACACTTTTGGGGAGAGTTAGGGACAGGGGCCTTGTTGGAATGGGAAGTGGAGGCAACTTGTAGGGAATTCTGGTGTGAGGGGCACAGAGATGGTGAGGGTTGGGGGCGTGGTCCCAGGGAGGTTTCTTAAAAAAAGACGATACAGTGTTAGGCATATTTATCCATCAGTATAGTGACCCACTATAGGGGAAGAAATGGGATAGTGAAAAATCCTTTGAAAGACAAAAGCCCAAGACCCAGTAACTGCTGCAGGTGTCGGGGTTGGAGGAGCGTGGCCTGCCTTCCATCGCGATGGGACCACCACACCTAGCGGCGGATATGACATTTTCCCTGGGAAAGGCGATAAGGCCTTCGTGGAGAGTGATTGGGAGTAGAGAGCTGTGAAATAATTGCTCCAGAAACAGAAAGTGAATTTACAGAGAAGGTGAGCAGCACGGAGGCCCTGTTGGAGATCGTGGTTTAAATTTAAAGCGAGTCCCATTGACGGTGTCGTTTCCTCCAGCTGCCCAGCTGTGGGCATGGGTTTGACACATCAGGTTTAATTTCAGCTAGAACTTTGTCAAACCATCACCGCAGGTGAGACTGGCAAGGCGTGTTTGGATGGGAGTGGGGCAGGCTGTGAGTAGACCTAAGTTAGTAGATTGGAAGGTGGCAGAGCTGTGGAGTTGTAGAATCAGGGATGAGAAAACAGAGGCTATGGCCAGAGACAGGACGTCGGCAGTGGCTCCTCCAGAGGTGCTGAGGTCAGCACTGGTAAGTGTAACTAACAGCAGTCCGCCGCTGCTCCTGGGGTCCAGGGGGAAGGCAGGCCCTGGAGCTGAGTGGAGTAAGAACTGCGTGGCCAGGGTTCTGATGGCTCATCTGTGGGGCTGTTA